TGAGGAGACTCACCTCAATCCAAGATAACCGAGATACATGCTCTGCTGCTACTGAAAACCTCACACTGAACATAACCAATTATCCTTAATAAATAATTAAGACAACTCCCAAAATCCAAGGTCCAAACTATTTTTTATTTTTCCAATGGGTAAAAGAACATTTTACCTTTCCTATATCTGGTCCAATAATCCATGGCCCAACCTCCAAAAAATCCCAAGGCCCCAAAGGCCCAAAACGAACTTCTCAAGAGTAACCCCCGCATACTAGAAGCATACACGCCATGTACTGCCCGCCGCTGCACAACATACAAGTCTTCGAAGCGTAACCCGAGGATTCCATGCATTATGTTGAGCGTACGCCCAACGTACTCATCAGAGGGCCAAAACTCATATTAAGCTCATAATGGTTAAGACCAAAATATCCAAACATAGATTTGAACCTTAAAGGGTGTGTTAAGTCATAAAGTTCCTGACTTTATGACTTTGCATGGCTTAATGGGTTCCAAACCACAATCCAAGCTTCCTAACTTCATAAAAGGTCACCAATACTTGCATGAGAGGATAATACTCCTCAAGATCCAAAATTTATGACTTAAAGACCTTAAAAGGGACCAAATATGAGGCTCAAAGGTTTTGGAGTAACTTCTATTCACAAGAACCACAATCTTGGGACCAAAACATAACAATACCACCCAAAACTAGATCTACAAGAGAAGTCATCAAGGTTAAGACTTTATACCTTGAGAAGATAGATCAAGATGCACAAATTCTGTATCCAAACCATAATCCAAGCTTCCTAACTTCATAATCTTTCTAGGTTAAATAACTTAATTATGATCACCATTATGTTAGGAATTTGAAGATGGGGTCAATTGTAACTTATGCATGGATTGGAAGTCATTTCACAAAGAAAGTTATGCATTGGTAGAAACTGAGTCATAGAAAACTTAAAATTAAGGTTATGACAAAATTTGGAATAGAGGTTAGTGTTGGGCAATGCAGGAGAGAAAAGAAACATGATTTGAGTATAATTGAATTCGATATTGTGGAACAATATGCAAGACTATGGTCCTATGTCGAGGAAATAAGAAGATCAAACTCTAGTTCAACTGTGAGAATAGATATTAACCTAATGTCAGATGGTATAAACTACTTCAGTAAATTCTATGTTTGTTTTGATGGACTGAAAAAAGGGTTGGATGGATGGTTGTAGAAGAGTAATAAGATTAGATGGATGATTCCTCAAAGTAATTTGTAAAGGGGACTTGCTTGTTGTTGTAGGGAGGGATGTCAATAACTATATATTTCCTATTGCATGGTGTGTTGTCTGTGTAGAAAATAAAGACAACTAGAAATGGTTTTTGGATTTACTTATTAATGATCTTGACCTAGTCAATGGAAATGGAGTGACACTAATGTCTAACCAACACAATGTACTTTTGTTTTTTTCCATGTTATTAACTTATTGTTTGTTATGTTATTAACTTCTTGTTTGTATTATAGGGAGTAATAAAAGGTTGTCAAGGATCTACTATCTCATGTTGAGCACAGGCAGTGTGCAAGACACATCTTTCCTAACTTTAGGAAAAGATTTGATGGAGCCCATTTTGAGAACATGTTATGGGCAGCAAGTAAAGCAACCACATAAGTTGATGATGTGTTATTTTTATACCACTAGTTTTAATATTTATAAATCCTAACTAATTTAACCAGCTAAAACACAAATTGGCAGTGTACCTAGTCACGTAATAGTATAGTAAAGTAAGTAGGGTGTTAAACTCAGGGAACGAAAATTTCAATAAGAAAGTATGCTATTAATTAAACTAGAAAAAAACTATAAATTGGGGGGGTTTTTTTTCTATTTTTTCAATTTCAGAAAAACTTAAATATCAACTAACTTGCAACTAAAATTACTTTAAACTAAAGCAAACAAAACAGAAATGTTTTTAATTCAAGATTATGGAGTACTTTCGTTTAGCTTCGAATCACCTTTACCCTATGGTTGATTTCTAATGCAATGGGTTATTTAGTTGGTTACCAAATTATGAAGTTACTAGTTATCTTGTTCCGATTTCCTAGTGTTTGATCAATTCATGAACTACTATTACAATGGTCACGCACCAAGTGAACACTTAATTGATTTTAAGGTTATTTGGACTATGAATGACAAGATCTAATGATTATCTATCTATGATCAAGACAAGCAATTCAAGCGCATAATAGGGATAATTAATGCTCTCTAACACAATTAAAATTACCAACTATTACCACCTAACCATAGGATTTGTTCAATCACTAGATCTAGTAATTCAATTATCATAAATAACTAAATATCAAGTTCATGTAACTAGAAGGGTCATCTAACTACACAAAACTTGCAGATAAGAGATAAAAATTAGAATTTTAACGTGCTAGGATATGTATCAATCAAACACTAGTAAAACCAACATAAATTAATCCATAAAAGTCGAAATCTAGTCATGATTGATTCGTTTGTGTTGTTGAAATCAATTACATCCTTGAGAGAAATTTTATGGAATGAAGTTGAGTGAAGTAGCCAATCAAACCTTCCTTGTGTATGGACATTAATTTAGGTCTTCATGCTAAGTCGGAACTTATGTGGCCACATAAACCCTCTTAACCGGCTACAATCGGAAACGAAAGGGGATATTCCCTTATTTAGCAGGTACTAATAGAGTTTAAGGATCCATAGCACACAAAAAATAGAATAATGATCTTTTAAAACCAAAATCAAAAGTATGTGGGTAAACAGTGACAATAACCCAAAATATCTATACACATGATTAAAATTGATTACTAAGTTGTTATAGAGAATTACAAAAGTCATGACATTATACCAATTACACCATCCTAACATAGAAATTCATCAAATGATTCAATGACAAATATTGAGTTCGATATTTTTGGTTCATTTAATTTTCAAAAGGAAAGTTATTCTTTACTTTAACTTTGACAACAATATCTTAACAATACATAGAAAAAAAAAACCTAGATGCTCATTTGAACCTTTTTGCAATCGAAGATAATAATCTTTTTCAAGTTAACAAATTTAGAATAATAATAAAAAAAAGGATCAGAACCACTCCCCACCCCCAAACATATATAATTGTTCTTATCCAACCCTCGACACTAAAAAACTTCCATTTTTGATTTTTCTAACCAAAGATTCAACTATCATCAATCACTTCATCTAAACAAACTTGTCTAATCTCAATGCTTTTTTACTATTTGGATGCCCAAATTCCTCCACACGAAGATTAGACTCTTTTTGAATTTCGTTCAAAAACTATTTCCCTTTTTCGGATTCAATCATCTCCAAAATCACTCCCACAACCTTTGCCGTCAGTCTCACCTCCACTAAACACCCTGCCCCCCCCCCCCCCCTCCCCCTCCTATATTAGCCGCCACACGTCTTTGTATGGGATTACATTTCCTAGCAGAAATCTCCCCATCATCCTACCAGGGTATTCTGTTGTTTTTGGAGCATTGTTCATCGAGTGTTCTAATGTTGCAAGAACTGATTCTAAATCTTTCTTCGTGCTCACTGTATGAGAAACTCATCTTGAAGCCGTTATAATAGATAATTACGGATTATCCGAAGTAACCGACTAACTACATGGGATACCATTTGTATATAGGGACGAAAAATGTTGTTTTGGGGTCTGGAATGTATGTCCGAAATGTGTGTTCTTGATTCTAAAATGTCACATCTATGTACGATATTTACTATCGTACTCCGGAATTGACTTTGTCAGGAATGTACAAAGACAGATTCCGGAGTCGAAGCTTTGGAATGAATATTGATTCTCCGGAATGTTTTATTCCGGACATAGTGGTTATTTTTCAAAAACTTTATAAGTTGAATAATCGTTTATATGGGTTAGAACTCAATTTCCCAAGATATTATTGCAAGATGATGCGGTCTTTAGGGTGTGAAGCAAGAAAAGTTAGACGATGCTTTTATGTTGTTTTGGGAAACTCAAGAATCAGTGGTATGGAGAGGGTTATTTAAGTCTTTTTTTTTCTTTTTTTCCTGTTAACTTATGATCAATCTCTTATTCTTATTAGGTTACTTGGAGCATATTGATAGCGAGCTTAGTAAAAAAATATTAAATAAAGGAAATTCATCTTTTCAAAATGTGTATTCAGTTGATGATCCATGATCCAGAAGAAAATTCATTTCATCCTCTTCCGGAAGTATTACAAAATCACAAATGTATAGTAAAGACTAAACACACCACATTTTGAAATATGAAAAATTGAGTAAACTAACAATTATAAACGAGGTTTTCAAAGAAAATAACCATATTTTTTCAGTTTTTGAAAAATAACCACGTTCTCCGGAATGCCTAATTCCGGAGTATTGTTCATCTTTTTTCAATTTTTTAAAAATTTTTATTTTCAAAGAAGTTATTTTGTTTTTCTGGTATTCTGAATGCTACATTTCGTGATGTTTAATGTCATTGTTTTTCAATAAAATACTTAATTTTATGTACTCATATTGTATATAGTTCATATTATTATGTTTGTTTAACTTTTTTGTTAAATTAAAAAAAAATGTTTTTTTTTCTTGAAATTCCGGAATCATTCTTCGGATTTCGAACTTGTTCTAGAAGTTTTTTTTTCTTCTGAAATCCAAAATTTTAGTCCGGAATTAGGCACTCTAGGGTACTGCTCATATTCCAAAATTTTAGTTCGGAATCCGGAATTTCATTCCGACGTTGGCCAAAAAAATATTTTTTCGGAAGGACAAAATGATTATTTTTACTCAAAAAAAAAAAAGGTTATTTTTTTTTTTTCCAAATACACGTTAAAAAGTAGTTAAAGGGTTAAGGGTAAACACTACACATTTTGACATAATACACATAATTGATTGAATATATAACAGTGCTAACACAATCCATGTCTTATCTGCATAGATAGTAGGGACTGGGAGAAAGCTCACTGGACATGGGGGACATTAGCGACTTTAATCCTTTTCATTGTATTTCTTTAATTGCAGGAAGAACAAGCAATATGATGATGGTGACAAGGAAACCAGTTCCAAACCCAGTGAACACAGGCAAAATAAGTGGGAGCTTGAATTCTTCTGATTTCTTAATTGATGGTACAGGGATCGAAGTTCTGGTGTCACAAGTGTAAATCGGACGCTCAAGGTAACATAAACCGGGATTTCCCTCGAAGCTTGAGTCTGTAAACGTTAGAAATTGACCTCCATTAGGGACTAAACCCCTCAGATTATTGTGAGCGACACTGAATTTGGATAAAAAACTTAGTTTCGCCAAAGATGGAAGGATTGTTCCGGTGAGATTGTTATATGACAAATCAAGCGTCTCTACCATTCTCATCCCTAATAAAGAACTCGGAATCGTACCTGATAAATGATTGTGTTTCAGATCCAAAATGTGTAGTTTTTTCAAGTTGCCAAATTCCGGCGGGATTTCGTGGGAGAGGAGATTACTGCTTAGGTCAATTGAGGGTGGAAAGAGCATCATATCTCGTCTAAAGCCCGTGTTTCTTCTTTTGAAGAACGGGAAATCTGGTGACTGCTCTTCTAATGAGATATCTCGTGAAATCAGACTCTGTAGCTGTGTCAGACTTTTGGGAATCTCTCCCGACAAGGAATTGTTCGATAAATCCAAGTAAAAAAGAGACTTCAAATCACCCAGATACGCCGGAATTGAACCGGTCAAGCGGTTCCATGACAAATTAAGTAACTGCAACCGTGTTAAACCGTTCATCCATGGCGGAATGCTACCTGTGAGCCTGCAATTGGCGATTACGAGAGCCTTGAGTGCTTTGAACTGGAGATGATTATCAGGCGGGAGCTGTTCGGTATGAAAGTTCATGGTGAGAATTAAAAAAGTTAGATTTGGGCAGTGTTGGAGGACTTTAAGAGTGGTTGACAGATTATTGAGGCTACAATTGGAAAGCGAAAGGTAAGAAAGAGAAGGAAAATTCTTGAAAGCTTCTGGGATTTCGCCTATGAGTTTGTTCCTTGCGAGATTTAAATATTTTAACTTTTGGCAAGACGCAAGGTTTGCAGGTACTGTGCCTGAAAAGCTATTCGAGCCCAGATCAAGTGAGGTAAGATTAACCATCACAGAACAGTTAAAATCGATCGAACCATTTAAAGAGTTGTTTCTCAAACTGATGGTAGAAATCGACTGTGAATTTGACAACGATGGAGGTATTTCACCCGACAGATTGTTGGAACGAGCTGAGAAATAGCTTAAGTTCGGAAAGCTATGGAAGAAATCGGGTAAATTTCCTAAGAGCCTGTTAGACGAAATATCCAAACGAACAAGATGACTTGAGGAATTACCAATTCCCTCGATTCCCATGAACATGTTACCTTGGAGTTCCAATTCCATCAATTTAGGTAACCTGAATAAGAACTTTGGTATAACGCCTGAGAGATAATTGAACGCCACGTCCAGATGTTCAAGAGAAGGGCAATTCTGGAATTGGGGTGAAATAGTTCCATTGAAGTAATTCATACCAAATCTAAGAACACGAATTCCAATTCCGGTGGAGTTAACACATAACAGGGATGGAAGGAAACCCATGAAGGAATTATCAGAGAGGTCTAAAACTTGAAGTGCAGGTAGGTTTATGTTACTTGGTAAAACCCTGTTTAATCGATTACTACTCAAATCAACTACTTCCAAATGGGGAAGATGAAAAAGCGAAAGTGGAAGAGGGCCTTTAAGGTAATTGTGTGAAAGATTGAGGGTTCTAAGCTGATCTAAATTAGAAAATGAATCGGAGAAGCTTCCTGTTAATCTTTTCTCAGGGAGTTCTAATCCTACAATCCTACCAGAAGAGGAATTACAAGTGATACCGATCCAATTGCAGCAATTGAAAGACGATAAAGATGATGAAGTTGTTGGCCACCATCCAACAATTGGGGATTCCAATCCATTTATGAAACCCCTTAATCCTCTTAGGTCATCAGAATTGCATGTCAGATTCTGTGAAATCACAAGAACCGAGTTTGAAGAGAAACCACAAGAATTATGACAAGTACCCATATCTCCAATACAACCACCATCTAGGATTATATTGACTAAAATACACAAGAACACGAACAAAGCTATCGAATTTCAGGGTTCAGAGAATATGGGTTTCAAAGATCCATTGTGTAACGTATTCAGATTTGTAGGCGAAATGGATGCATCAAAAGATGAAGAATTTTAAAACAAGGGTTCTGATTTGAAATTTCGCCTTCTATTTCCAAGTAAGAATAAGGAGATATTTGACAACATACACAGGTCGAGAGAAGAATTAGACTGATCATAAACAAATCTAAGGTATGGCGGAAGATTGTGCTATTCAGACAGAGACGATTGATCATAAACAAATCTAAGATAGCACTGCCAAGTGCCACCAAAGTCTCAACTTTGAAAATGTTAACGCGCGTCAGTCAACTTATTTGCAATATACCCTTAAACTTGCAAACTATTTTAAATCACACCCCTTCGTGTCAAGTGGAAACATTAAACAGGTTCAGAAAAGTTTGACACTAATCTAATCCGTTTAATTATGATGTCGTGTAAACCTAAATATTTTCATGTCAAGTTTGTATCGGATTGCAAGTTAGGGTTTAGGCCTTATAAATATGTTATGTCATGTTAAACTTAAAAAATTTACATGTTGAAAAATAGGAGTTGAGAGATAAAAAGGGAAAAAAGCAAAACAAAAAAATAAAAGGAATTGAAGTTGTGAGATGGAAATGAGAAATTTAGAGAATAAAATGGAAGTTACCGAGTTAAGAGATGAGGTCATGAGGTGGAGGGAGTGATCAAGCGAGAGCGAGACAACACAGAAAAAATGAACATACCAGTGGCGGACGCAGACTGTTTTAGTAGGGGTGTCCCTCGTACTTCAAGCGGGTGCACCTAATAGAAAAAACAAAAAAAAAAAAATTACACTGCGTGCTGGAAATTGAGCGGTGGCCTAGGACCCCAAATGCCCTACTAAGGTCCGCCACTGGAACATACAGTCTTGAGGTGGAAAGAATGAAAATACTAATTTATCTAAGACTTAAAAAAAAGTCTTGAATATATATAAATGGATCATTTTCGAGTTGAAATTTTTACATTAATCTTATCAGTTTAATTTTTATATCGTGTCATATCAACCTGTTTTACTAAATGGGTTAAAACTTGAAATATATTACTCAAAACAAAAAAAAAATCACTTTCTATATCTTATCTTTATTATTTCACCAATTTATTAAAAAGTTATTATACCACATATATTTTTTTTAAAATAATTTACTTAAAAATATCTAATTAATACCGTCGAAATAATACCAATAGTAAACATGATTAACATCTATATATAAGAAAAGTATCATCTCAACCATAGAATCAGTTTTATTTAAAGGATATAAAAACTGTTCATAATTATCATTTATGGGCAAATTAGTAATCGTATTTTCTAACTAAATCAAAATAAATTAAAAATCAGATGATAACTTTCCAAAACTATAGATATTATTCATCAACGACCAATATTGATTTCGATAGTTTTTGCCATATAATTTGATTCTATTTCAAAAGAACAGTTATCGTTTAGTTTAACTTTGACAACAATCATCGGAACAATAAAATAAAAAATTAAATAAATAAACTGGATGCTCATTTGAACCTTTTTGCATATGCAGATAATAATCTTTCTCAAGTTAACAAATATAGAATAATAATAAAAAAAAAGGATCAGAAAACCCCCCAAAACATATATAATTCTTCCTATCCAACCCTCGACACTAAACCACTTCCATTTTTGTTTTTTCTAACCAAAGATTCAACAAGCATCAATATCACTCCCTCTAAACAAACTTATCTAATCTCAACGCTTTTTTACTATTTGAAGGCCGAAACTCCTCCACACGAAGATTAGACTCTTTCCGGATCCCATTCAAAAACTGATTCCCTTTTTCCAATTCAATCATCTCCAAAATCACCCCCACCACCTCCGCCGCCAGTCCCACCTCCACCAGCCGCCCTGGCTCCTCCCCCCCTTCGTATATCAGCCGCCACACCTCCTTATACGGGACCACATTTCCCATCACCAATCTCCCGATTATCCTCCCAAGATATTCCGCTGCTTTCGGTGCATCATTCACCGAGTCTTCTAATGCTCCAAGAACCGATTCCAATCTACAAATTTGATAAAAATATGTCAAAAGATTTGGAATCTCAAAGGGCATCATAGTCATTTCATTTCAAACTTACCCTCGAACAAGTGAGTCTTGATTTAGTATTCCATCTTGAGATTTTCCAAGATTCACAAGAAGCTTAGCAAGTGAATCCCGATCCACTTCTTTCCTCTCGAAAGAATCATTCACCCAAATCGATATCATCGATGGGTAAAAACTCGGTGCATTCAATTCCTTAATACACATTGCCACTTCCTTCTCATCTCTCGCACTGCAAAATTACCAAAATACCCCCACAAGTCAAAAATCAAAACTTTAAAAAAATAATAATAATAATTACGATTATTACATTACCTATAAAACTCTTTAATCGCCTCCATTGACATATCACGTAACCGTTCTTCCGGCCACATCTTATCTTGAACCGGAGCCGGGACCCACACTCGAGCCGAAGGCGAGTCATAACCCGGTTGACTCGACCCGTTCGGACCAACCGGGACCCGCGGACTCAGACTTGGACTCGGTTCGGGTTGGTGGTGGTGGTTAGGGTGACCCCTAACCGACATCCCTCTAGCTAACCCACCTTGTGGGCCAAGGGTAATTCCGTCATTTTCACTCATCGGTCTCAACGGAATCGACAAAGTCCGGTTTTCAAAATCAAATCTCGCATCTTGGTTATACCCGCGACCCGGACCCATCCCGCGAAAACCCGAATTCGGAGATGGTAACAAATGGCCTTGACCCGGGTGTTGACCCGGATTCTGACCCGGACCGGGTCCGACCCGGCGGGTGGAAGAGTTGAAACTCGGCCCGCGGGCCAAACGGGTCGACTGGACGTGTCGTTCTTGGGCTGCGTCTCGGTGTACTTCATCGATTTTTTTTGGGCCTTCGATTTTTCTTCTTTGTTGCCATTTGTTTTTTCTTAAATCAATTACGTCTTTTAACATGAATCTGACACGTGAAGAAAGTTTCATGTTGTTTGATAATCTCAACATTGTGTCAAAATACACGTCGATGTGTTCTTTAGCACGTGGATGATCTATCATTACTCCAATTGTGCTCATTAATTTGCATAATGATTCGATATCTTCTTCATCGGGATTCTGATTTTGACTTTGGTATTGACCTAATAGCTTCTTTATACATTCGTGCATTATTCTTTCAGTCAACATTTTTTTTTTATATAATTCACCGATTAATCTTATATTCCCCAACATCCGTCTTCTCGCTTTCACTCTCTTCTCTTCTCTCTCCTCTTCAGTTTGTTTCACTTCACCTTCTTCTTCAGTTCTATTCGCCTCTTGTTCTTCACGTTCACCTCGTTCAAATTCCTCTTGACATTTATTCAAAAGTAATCTTTTAAAAGTGATTTTCTCATTATCTTCACTAAAATCCGGTAATTCGACAGAAAGCCTTGAACAAAAGTTAGCGTACATTTCGCAAAAAGTGGGCTCCATTAATGCTTTATCAAAAATCTGATTAATTACACCGGATAAAGTGTTCGCATTATCAATGTTGACTTGTTTGACTTGTTCAAAAAGCTTCTCGAAGTTTTGAGGTGTTAATTTGTTCAAAATTCCCTTTAATTGTCTTTGTTTTGCTTGTTCTTCATCTGTTACTTTTCCCACTTCGTATTTTCTCTCAGCTTTATGCATCACTTGCATTGGAGTGTTTGGAGACGGGATTAACCCTCTTTGATTCCCACTCACACGCTGCCACCTGTCCGAATCTGAGTTGTTCCTTTGCATGACACCTGGCGACTGCAACGGGCCCGCCAAGATCCCGCCGGAAAACACCGGTTGAGCCCGCGGGTTTCTCAAAACACCGCCATGAACCGGCCTAAATCCCGGGACATTTCCGGTGAAGTTCATCCCCATTTGCCCTTGTTTATTCCACCGGTCATCATGCCCGACATTACTCGGGCGGCGGTCAAGCGTCCGGGCAGCTGCCCGAGGTTCTCGGGCAGCAAGATTTGACATCACCGCTTCGGCTATATCGGGTGTGAGTTCAAACCCTAGAGGGAGTTCATTACATTGTTCAGAGAATTTTAGTAAGAAATCTCTTGAATACTTTTTGGATAATCCTTCATTTTCAATTGTTTCAAGCTTAGGGGTAGAAATGTCCGCAGCATCTTCCCAATCATCAGGTTCGAATTTGTTGACATGTTTTTCTTTTTCATCAATATCTTGATTTTGAGGTGTTGAAGAGGCTTCTAGGGTTTCAAAACATGGGGTTTCTTTCTTTTCTTCTGGACCTTTGTATGCCATGTAAAGATCAGAAGTTGTCCCTTGAGCATCTGCAAATTTCAAAATATCCCTTCTTTTCTTTTTTGATTTAGATGTGTTAGTGTTTGTATTTGTAATACCCGTATTGCCCTTGGTCTTTGTGGAATCGGGTAAAGATGGAGCCATTGAAGGCACTGAGTTTCCACTCTTCCCCATATCCTCTTCAGGGGTAGAAACGGAAATATCAACTTGAATATCTGATTTCAAGATTTGATCATCATTGATTTTAGTGTCCTCAGGCTCATTGGTGGGAAAAATCGAATCTTTTTCTTGTTCTTTTGACTCCAAAGATTCCACCTTTGGTTCTTGATTTTCAAGGGAAATTTCAAGATTTGTCTCACTGGATTTTACCCCTTCTTCACCACTACCACCTAAAAACCCGCCAGTAGCATTGGCGGCAACATCCACAGCCACCACTTTATTGGTGGTTTCTGAAACCTCCTCGTTGACTTCAATTACAGGAGTTGACTTTAAGGCTTCTGAAGAAGAGCTTGAAAGAGTATCCAACTGTTCACCTATCTGAATATGACAAATCACAAAAGGTTACATTTTTAACACACGAAAAAAATTAAAAATTAAAAAATTAAAAAAAGTACCTTCTTTTCTGGCTTTATCTGTTCATCTTTAACAAGTGGGGCCAAATCCTCAACAGAAGAAACCGAATTTGTTGAATTCTCAGATTGGGAAGAGCCAAAAGTGGCATTAGATAGTTTAACTTCAGGTTCCACATGTGTTCTTTCACTTCTTTTGGGGAGGTCATTTTTGTCATTTTTGTCATTAACAGGGACACTACCTAACAAAGATGACTCACTAACACTAACCTTTTCATGTACTACAACATTAGCAGCTGGTTTCACTGTCACCTGATTATAAAACCTAGGTGGCTGAGATCCACTATTTGTTTGTGTTTGTGAATTATTAGGTGGTTGGAAGAAAATAGGGTTAGGGTTAAAAGAGTTAGAATAGAAATTCATGGGGTGTCCAGGTGGAAAAGAAGGAAGAGGCTGGGACCCATGAGGGAGGTGGGGCCTAGGGGTTGTTGACCCTTTATCAAGTCTAAGCTCTTCATGAGTGTCAGGGTGAGTGATTTTCACGGTTTTCCGGTGACCACCCAGTTTTCCGGTGGGTGGTGGTGGTGGTGACTGGTAATGTTGTCCAACACCAATTGCCATGTTGGCAAGCTGAGGTGGCATCTGTGGAGAAGAAAAGTTGATACCTTGACCTTGATGGATGATCCCTTGTGGCTGCATTGGATGATGTGTCACGAATACTTGTTGTGGTGGATTCCCCATTGGTAAGGGCATTGGGAGGGGGATATTTGGCATTCCTTGTGATTGCATTTGGGGATTTGGAGTAGGGTAAGGGACGTGTATTGGGGAATGGTGAAATGGCATTTGCATTGAAACACCAGGGATTGGTGGCCCAGATAGCTTTTGAGGGGTAGAATGGGTAGATAAAGTTTGGTTATCTTTTTTAGGTTTTGGAATAGAATGATGAATCTCAGGGGCATTACCTTGAACAACAGAAACAGAAACAGAAACATCATCTTTTCTTTGTTTTGGGATTGATGGAGTTGGAAGTTTATTAGCTTTTAAGGAATCAACACGAGCTTGAGCTTGTTTCTGTTCATCAAAATTTGGTGGGGCAGAGCTAGTTCGAGCAGGTATCTACAAACACCAAAAGAACAAAATTACAAAATTACAAAAATACCCTTTTGGCTTGTTCAAGTTACAAAATCTCTATCACAATAGACATTTACCTGCATTACATTCATGATACCAGGACTGATTGATCCAAATTGAAGTTGAAATGCCCTAGAAGCATCTGCAGGCCCTGAACACAATAAAAAAGAGCATCAGTAGACAAGAAAATTACGAAAATACCCTTGTTGTAGTTACAAGTTTACAATCACTTCGATTATACCTTTTGTTGGAGTTGAAGGTCCAGTAACATCAGAACTGGGAACAGCTGTGTTACCCTGTGGAGGAGCCTTTGGGAGGCCTGGGGTGTTCTTCTGAATTGGTGTTTCAGATGGCTTTGGAGTAGCTCCTGTAGATGGAGCACCAGTTGCACCTAATAATATAGATAAAACGATAATATACACAAAGTATGCATTTTGAATCGAGTAGAATCATAGTTTCAGGGTGAATTTTGTGTTATAGAGTGGAAGGGGTAGTAGTTTTTGGGATTAGAAAGATGAAATTATGGAAATCGAAGGGATTTTGAGTAAGAATACCTCGTGCCGGCGGTTGTAAATGTGCGCCATTGGTTACACTAGCGCCACCGGGAGTAGAAGAATTCGACAAATCCAAATTTGAATTTGTAATCGGGGTGTTTACCCTAGGTTGTACTCCTTGAGCATGATTATTCGTCTTCTTAAAGCTAAAAAAAACACCCAAATCACGAACATGAAAAACATACCCTAAATTCACACATACATACACAGACGCGTAGATAATGTAGCAAACCCTAGTTTTAAATTACCTTCTCTGCGAAGAATAAGAGGAGGAGGATGGTGGGGCGGTGTTACTTCCTCCTCCGCCGCCGCCGCCGCCCTTCCCACCACCACCGGAGTAGTTCCTTGGCAAGGATGAGTTACCGGATCGACCTACTCTTCTGTACTGCTGCGGCTCGTTCTTGTCACCCTTCGATTGATTGACGGACATGTATTCAAACCTTTAAAAGACCCAATCTTTTTCCTTCCTCGATCAAATTCAATAACAAAATCAAATTGACGAAACTCAGATCCCCCCTCCAATCAAAAACAGTAATTAACCATAGCAGTCGATTTTAACATGACAATATCAAAACGAAAAAGATGCGTGCTTTCATTTAATTACTTACCAGAAGTAACAAGGATTATTGAAAAAAAAAAATTGAAGGAGAAAGAGATAGAGACAGAGAGAGAAAGCTAGGGTTTAGGAATTGTTGTGTCGAGAGGCGGGAATACCTTGAGCCAGTATCGAAGAAGAGAGAACTAGTATGTGCTTTTGGTGTTTGTGTGTGTGAGAGGAGAGAGAAACAAAGAAAGAAAGAAAGAGAGAGAAAGAAGAGGGTGATGGATGGTAACAAACTGGCCCTGGGTAGGTGGTCAAAAGGTAGGGTTTTTCGGAGATGAATAATCCGACCGAATCGCGGCGCGTTGACGGATCCTTCGGGTTCTCTCTAAATGTGTGTTGGTGTGTCACAATTTACACACATTGGAGGCCTTTCTGTGTGTTAATACCACGCGTTTTGGTTCACGCGCTGCCTTCTTACTTCCACGCGCCACGTGTGTTCCTTTTTAAATATTCACCAACTAATATGCATATCGTATATTTAAAGAAGAGCACGTAATATATATGTATATTTATATGTATATATTGTGGAGGTTTAAATAAGGAAAGTTAAGGATGACTAATGTCTATATAATTAAATTTTGAATATGGAAAATGAAGTCCTGATTTAAATACAACTCTTGTATATCAAACCTACTTTGTGGTTTTAAAGTCCAAGTTTTTGTTATTTGTTTAAGAGTAAATTATAAATTTTGTATTTATGTTTTAACAGAATTATAAGTTTAGTCCAAACTTTAAAATTGTCTCAACTTTAAGTTTGATTTTTTACGGATGTGGTCCATGATCTATATAAATTGGCTTCATGTTTTGGACTAAACATGAAAGTTTGAGTGAAGCACAAGGATCATGTTTGTAATGATATATAAACATATTGAGTGATATTATGACAATTTTAGAATTTGACACCAAATTTGTAGTTTACTTTTTTAATGATAGTTTTTTTTCTACCTATCTTTTTTATGTGTGTAAATTATGAGATGTAGTGTCGTTATTCAAATTGTTGTTGTTAAGATGGTTTTTATTTTTTGTCTCCAAAATCTCTTGGATTCTTTGTCTGCATCGTGCAGACATTAACCTCCGTAGACTTGTAGTTTTTAAAATACCGCAAAACTAAAAACGTTTTTACGTCTTCTTTTTGATGCAAATATGGACTAGAGTCTTCTTACTTCTTCAAACATATTCTACCCTAAAATAAACACACACACACACACACACACACATTATATATATCTATATATCTATATATATAATATATATATATATATATATATATATATATAATATATGTTTTTTCAAATTATTCCAACTTTATTATGATAGATAATTTGGGGGGAAAATTACAATACTTCTAGAAAAAGAAAAAGTTCGACGACACAACGGTCTTCATGAAAAAATTATTTTTTGTGTCAAATTTTATAATAAAAATATATTCTATGCATCATCATCCATTTCTTGGGAAAAAAATTGGTCGTTTTTTCAGTGATTAACTAAATAAAGTAAACTAAAAATTTTCATTTTAAAATCGAAGTTTATTATAACATTCCAAAAATCACAATAAATTTTAATTTTTCAAAAACAACCAATAACCAAAAATGTTTACAAAACCATTGTTTCAAAAGTGTATTTTAGTCATCAAAGTATCACAAAATCCAAACAACATAAAACCAAATGATGTGCACGATCACGCCTACACCTTTGTCGCGGTCATTTGAAGTATCTAAAACAATAAACTGAAACTGTAAGCCAAAGCTTAGTAGGTTCCCCCGAAATACCACCACACAACACATAACATATACAATCATGCATTTTGGGCCCACAACCTCCCGGTTGGCTTACCTTGGCCCACAACCTCTCGGTTGGATTGCCCTGCATGTCACGTATTGGGTCCACAACCTCCCGGTTGGATTACCCTGGCCCACAACCTCCCGGTTAGATTGCCTCATTCTGTTGATTTACAGCACAAAACAATAACCTCAACCCCAATATAACATGTCGACATACAACTCAAAATACCCAAAATATGGTTAGGTCAAACCCTGGTCAAAGTCAAAATCAATCCACACTCAAAATTCCCACAATCCACTAGTCACGTCGTGACCTAATAAGTCAAAACAGTCGAGGAATACAATCCTCACACCGTGGTACTCATGTGATCACATCGTGAGAATGCTCTGATCAGAAGTTCTTAATGAAACTCTTAATCTCTTTTTAGCCAAGCAACCAAATCCTCTATAGTGTCTTATTTACTCCATAATATCATAAAAATCATGGTTTTTTGGACATGCATGTCCAATGCATGTCTCAAACACCAACTAGGGCACAAAAGGAGAGAATGATACCAAATCTCATGTAAGAGTCATAAAACTCAACCATATTCCAAATCTAGCAACTATAGTACTCAAGGGACACTAGAGATCCATAAAGTTGGCAAATTTATGGATTCCATATCATTTTGAATATGAAGGAATAAGCATAAAAACCTATATCTAAGTGAAACATCCCAAAAATCATAACCAAAAATTTTCGTTTTAAATCATTAAATAAAACCATAGTTATCAAAACACTTCATTGAAACATAAGTCAAACTATCTCAAAACATTATTATCAGAGTTTTCCAAATCAAAACATCAGAGTAATCATCCCAAGCTAAACATAATTGTGTGTGCACTGCAGTCATCCTGAGCTCTTCCCTTTGCTACCAAAAGTACCTGAAACCAAAACTGAAAACTGTAAGCACGAAGTTTAGTGAGTCTCCCCAAACTACCACATACCATACACATAATCACATAATCACATAATAACATATCATGGGCCTCGCCCGCTTCATCGATGTGACAACCGTCAAATTTCGGTCAATTCAAAGTCAATAAGTCAAACCGGTCAACTCCAATAACCCTTGTATGCTAGGGTTTACGTTATGTAATCACTATACAATTCGCTATTTTAATGAGAAATCATCATTTGGAAAGTTCATGTGTTTGATTTTCCTTAGCCTTAACAGTGCTAAACAACGAACCAAAGCGATAAAACACTATTGCACAATCATCGGGATTGTGTACGACACTAAAACACGGTTTAATGGGGTTTACGAACCTTGCGTTGTGAAGCCGGACACTCAAATTAATCACAAACGAAACCTCTCTAAATCGTTTTCACTCTATCTCTTTCTAATTGAAATCTCTCCCAAATCTCTCTCAAAAGTTCCTTTAATTTTTGTAATCATTCGGGCCATCCCGACCCTTAACCGGGTCAAAAACCACTTGAAACGGGGTAAAAACGGGTAAAATAGGCTTAAGGACCCAAAACTGAAGCTTCAGGACCGAAGTCCCTGTCATAAAGGAAGACGACACACATTTGTCTGTCGTAAACTTACGACTCGCGTGTTGAGGACACGCAATGAGTATCAAGGAAGCCCCTGTCATAATTTTTCCGGTTTTTTCGACTACGACTTCGTTTTAACTCCGTTTTTCATTATTTTAACGTGGGATTTTCACCCAAAACTTTATTTTATAAACTAAGGCCCCAAAATATATAAATCTCCAGGGTTTTTATAAAAATATATAAAAGAATTGGTGGTTGGACTAATTATTGAGGGAATATTTGCTTTTCCTTATTTTATGGCAAAAGCAAGCCACCACCACCTCACTCTATGATCATCCACTCTTTCCCACTACTCCTTGTCTCCTTAGTGGACCTTTACAGCCAATCTCCAGCTCTTCCCACGTTCTAAGAGCTGGAGGATTGATCCTCTCTCCTCATTCTCCATAAAAACTCTTCATTCTACACTTAGCAACCAAGAACACTCTCCAAAATTCTCTCATCTTTTCTCTTAACTTCAAGAACTTCAAGGCTTTCTCCAGGGATTTCTTTCTTCAATTAGTAAGTATCTTCATCATTCACATAATTATTAAACTCCATTCTACTCAAATTATTGATATCTTACACAAGTTCCATCTTATTCGGTGTTAGATTTTCGAATCATCAAGACATCTTCTTAGTGTTCTTGAGTTGAACACTTCCTCTCTCTCACTTTCATCTACTGAAACCACATAAGGTGAGTTCATACCCATACATTTACATGTTTTTCTTAAGTTTTAAGGGGGGAATACAAGTAAAATCATCAAGAACACAATTAAACTTTTTCTAACAGATTGCATCAGAAAAGATGGACGTTAATCACGGACTGTTTTGTCAACTTAAAAATTTTAGTTTTCAAAACTGTTTCAGGTGCAAGTAGTTCAAACTCTTAGCTTTAAAATGACTACTTGCACATCTCCAAATGATTTTTCTACAATTAATGGTGATTTTTACAAAACTGCCTGTCATTTCAGAGGCAAACCCGGACCAGTCTGTGATTATGAACATTTTCACCTCTGTTAGAGATCACTAAAAATCATGATAAAATTTACGAACAAACTAGACTCATATTCCAAACTCTCAAAATTTGCGGATTTGGATTTAGAGCTGTTATGATTTTTCTATAAATTTTCTAAGAACGGTAACAGAAACTGTTTATAACGAAAAGTTGCTGTTAATTTCATTTCACCTTGTAACATGTTGAGCAAGGTGTATATCTTTATGTGACTATATGTTACTGCAATATATGACATTTTATCTTAATATTTAGACACACATCAGTTTACAAATGGATTTGGTCATATAAAATATAAAGAATAACAAGTGATTATAATCAAAGTACAATCGATACATTCAAACATTAAATAAACTATTTTGAATATAGTTTGCATACATTACCACGTACTACCCTTGGTTGATAAACTATAATAGGTATAGTTTATGATACATTACATAACACATACATTTAAAAAGGGTACATTTATACAAAGGATATTTTCATTAAGCAAGGTACGGCCATACGGTACCAAGTTTTCATAACACGTAATTCCGTTAATGACTTTGTGAGACATTTACTTCAAATTACCATTAAGTCCTGTATTGTAACCAGAGTCTCCTTGAGGGAGAGCGTGATACTTGTGTATAGATCTATATTGGGTTTGACAAACCCACACCTAAACTGCATGCAACAGTTAGACCGATAGGTCTGGGGTGACAAATGTCATAACATTTCCGACGCCTGAAGAACGTCGTTTTAGGCAACCTTGGTCATAGTATGGTTATAATAAACTCACATAAAGTATTAACAAACATTGGAATTTACGGGGACTTCATTAAAATTTAACGAGTTTA